ATTTTGTTAAGAAATAAAAGATTATTACTACTGGTATGCACCAATTTACACACAAATACATAAAGACAATTATAGAATATAGTATAATATAGTATGTACCTACATGAGTTTATTATACATATCATGAGGTATTGTTTTATTTATGGTTATTATTATATAAGTTAGTCATCAAAATTATAGAAATTTACACGACATTCGTATGTTATTAATACAGACACAGAAATGAGAATTTCAGAACTAATTTATTTATATTATAATAATAATAATGAAAATAAACAGTTTATTTGAAGATTTTAAGATATGTGAATATATTGTCTTTCTCGTGTTGATCTATGTATTAATGTACCACATAACAGAGCATATATATTGTTGAACTATATAAATACAGTTGAAAGTTGCTCATTAAAAGAAAATTCATTATAATATTTGTGTCCAACAATTCTCAAATCTATAATATTGTAACAGTATATTTATTATTATATACTGTCTGTGAGTAAATTCAAACTACAGAAATGTGTGTACGCCCAGCACTAATTTATTTATATTATAATAATAATAATGAAAATAAACAGTTTATTATTTGAAGATTTTAATATATGTGAATATATTGTCTTTCTCGTGTTGATCTATGTATTAATGTACCACATAACAATTAAAACATTACAATAAATCATTACCTCATCATCACCACTGAAATCGATAGTGTCAATTCCACTTATACTTGTGTTTTCTTTTTCATTTAGAAATGTTAGGTATTCAAAATACTATAAAGATGGCACATAAATATCTCCAGTTCTTTTACTATCTTGTACCTGGAAGTTAAATTATAAATAATAATGTGCAATACCTACTATAATAGGATATTTTAGTGGTTTGTATTAAATAGCTATATATTTTTGTGTGTGTATATAATTATAATTTTTTTTAAGTCAGTTTTTATGCCTTTTCTTTGACATAATTTAAATTCATTAAAATATAATTATTTCTTATATAAATAATTGAGTTTTCATTTATTTATATTAATCATTAATTTTCTTATTTAAAAAGTATTAACCTAAGACAATTTTTATTTTTAATAATAATAAATAATGAATATTAAAATTACCTACTTTTAAAAATAATTAATTTGTTTACCTTTTTAAATTCTCTTTTGTATGCAGCTCTCATATTCTCAATTTTCTTTTTTACAGTTGAGATACTAGCGTCATTGTCTATTATTTTTAATTTTTCTTTTAATAACTCAAGCGCCTGGTTTCTTGCATACCTGTTGCTGTACTGCTTACAAGTAATATCCCATAAACAAGTAAACGATTTGTACATTTCTAAAAAATCCAAAATCACTTCTCGTTCT